TGCTCTCGGGCCTCACGTCCCGCGCGGCCGTGGTCGCAGCCGCCGCCGGCGCCACCTCCCTTTTTGGCACTGCAGACACCACCCAGACGCAGCCAGGTCTTGCTTCCCTTTAATCCTTCTTTCTTTGTGTCTCCTCAGCCTGCCAGGCGCAGGACTCGCCCCCGGAGCGGGAGGGAGACTGGATGGGAACCGAAGGGGTGAGTGGAGTCCTCGCTCAGCTCAGAGTTGGTCAGTGACTGGAGGAAGGTGCCAAATCTGACCCGGGCTTCAGCCTGCGAGCGGGCGGGGGGCGGGACGGAGTCCAGCCTCGCCCCACTTCCACCAATCACAAGCTGCACAGCAGAGTCGGTCGCGTTCGGAGCTCCAGGATAGGTCGAGCAGACTCGGCAGGAGGCGGGGATTGCGGTAAAGAAGACCCAGTAGGAGCGAGGGTTCCCCGCCCCTCCGCCTTGATGGACTGTCACATTCCGGCCAATGGGGAAATTCTCTTTTTGAAGAAAGCGGGACTTGTTCGCCGGGTTTAAGAGGGAGGTTGCGCGGAGGGGGAGGGATCGAGCTGTGCCTCGTGGAGTAGCCTGGACTAAGATCAGGGAGGGCTGGAGACTGTCCTTTGACCTCCCAGAAGTCACGTGGGATGACCTGGGGCGGAACGGCAGAACGAGTTTCTTCCGGGTCGTTGACAGAAGGATCAACTCTTTGGGTGTAGTTTCTGTCTATCCTGCATCTTTTCCCCTGAAAACCTCGTGAGGTGGTTGTGATTTCAGCGATGAGCACCCAGAAGGGCAACGTGGCTCGTTCCAGGCCTCAGAAGCACCAGAATACGTTTAGCTTCAAAAATGACAAGTTTGATAAAAGTGTTCATACCAAGGTAGGAACCTTACTGGTTGCATTGACTCTTGACTCCAGGAAGAAATGGTTCAGCGGAGGGAGGAGAGAGGAAATGAGAGCAGTTGGCGAGGGCGAGTGTGGATCGCAGCCCAGAGTTAGTCTTGGCTGCAGTGCAACCCTTTCTAAAATGTTATTCCCACGCCCTTTCTTTGACCTGGATATGTTTTCTCCTCGTAAATATACTTGTTGGTCAACCCAAATAATTGCGCCCAGAGAGAACGGGACCCTCAACGAAAGGTACAAACGGGGAAATTGAGTTGTCGAATGTTCCATCTGCATCACATATTTGCAGTAGAAAAGTGAGGATTAAGGCATGAGTGGCCATATTTTGCGCCAAGTTTAAGCAGCCACCACATACTTTTTGGGAAACCCTTAGCCTGTAAGTTTGTGCAGAGAATGGGATGAATGATTAAGTAAGTGCTCAGAACCTCAGTGTTCTCCCCAACATAATGGGAATTGCTGTCTCTTTTCTAAGATTATTTTGAGGATCACGTTAGTTAGTGTAAAAAATGTTAATTTTGCTGTTTGTAAGTCATTTACTTTAGCAGAATTTCTAAAAGCTGGAAGAAAATTCTGACCATCTGATAGTCAGCCAGAGGACTTGGGTTGTGAAGGATGGAATTAAAAGTATGAGTTTATTTTTTGCATGCTCGAAAAAATTTGAAATCCATGCATAGTTTTTCATAATAGTCACTTTCCATGAACTTTTTGAAGGCACCCATGACTACTGTGTATATCTCTTCTTGCACCCATAACTGTCTGGAGAAGAGGTTAAGTTCTTACAGTACCATATTGGGGCCTAGCATCACATCAGATAAACCTGATGTTCACATAAACTGGAGTTCAGATTTAGTAGGTATTGACTTATGTTATTTAACACTTAATTTATCTGAGCATTTCTTTGGTCTCAGATGAGAAATCTGGCAGAATTGTTGCAAGGCTCCACTAAATGATGTCTATTAAGTAGTCTGGGTCGTTACAGGTGTTCAACAGTTGGTTAATTTCTCAGCATAGATTAATAAAGCAATCTGTTAATTATAACCCATGGTCTCCTTCATCCATTTTTCACTTACTCTCAAATATTTACTGAGCACTTTCTGTGTGCAAGACAGCATACTTGTGGGTGGACAGTGTTCCAAAGTGTTGATTCTGCTTTCATGGAGTTTATAGTTTCCTGATGATATGAACTTAAATAAGTAAGCAGAAAAATACATGATTACAAATTGTGGCGAATGATGGTGAAATTTGGTAAGGAAGAATAAAGAGATATTTAAAATCGGGTGCTCAGAGGACCTTTCTCCTAAAGATTCAGAAGATTTTTAGAAAAAAAAAAATAAATCTGGGACAGTAGTCAGGACAGACTTTCCCTAGATTGTGCCCATTATCAACAGGTAAACAAAGAGAAAAGGCTGTATTATTCCCAATGCTGTCTGCATTTCATTGTGCATTCTTGCTCTAAGACTTTGCAAACATTTGATTTTGATAGTTTTTCATCAGATGATAAAATACAGTTTTAACAAACAGTTAACTGCAATGTCGCTATCCCTAGACTTCTTGTACTTCATTTTGTGTATTTTCTTCTTGTTATCTGGTAACCTTGTCATTCTGATCTTAAATATATTAATTAGTCTTGGGTTTAGTCACTAGGTTTCATTTTATCATTTTTACCTTTAATTCCTCACCCCCCTTTTAAATTCTTTATTCATGACAGAGTTAATGCATAAGAGAGGAAGAGAGAGAGAGAGAGATATCCTCCACAGGGTCTGGTCACACCATAGTCCCCTACCATCAGTCTTCTAGCCTCAGATCTTGGGGAACTCAAGCTTGTGCCTGGAGTGTTTCAGGCTGACTGGGCCAGAGATCCAAACTATGGCTGTCTAGTGGTATCCAGCTTCTCTTGAGAGCATATTATTGCTGTGCCACAGAGCTGACCCCCCTTTTCCTCTTTTAAATTGTGCAAAAATGCTCTTTTCTGGCTGGAACCATGGAGGGCTTTCAAGAGGAGAAAAAGAAGGTTCCTGCTACGGCAGAAGCCATCAAGAAAAAGGTTCCTGCTGTGCAAGAAACCCTTAAGAAAAAGTGAAGGAATTTTGCAGAGCTGAAGATTGAGCACTTGAGAAATAAGTTTGCTCAAAAGATGCTTCAAAAGACAAGGAAGAAGCTTATCTATGAAAAAGCTAATCACTATCATAAAGAATATAGATAGATGTACAGAACTGAGATTCACATGGCCAGGATGGCTACAAAAGTTGGCAACTTCTGTGTACCTGTAGAATCCAAATTGGCATTTGTCATTGGGATTAGAAGTATCAATGGAATGAGCCCAAAATTTGAAAGTTGTTGCAGCTTCTTTGTCTTCGCCAGATCTTCAGTAGCACCTTTGCTAAACTCAACAAGGCCTCAATTAACACGCTGAGAATTGTGGAACCATATATTGCTTGGGGGGTACCCAAACCTGAAGTCAGTAAATAAACTAATCTACAAGCGTGGTTATGGCAAAATCAATAGGAAGCGAATTTCTTTGACAGATAACTTTTTGATTGCTCAATCTTTTGGTAAATTTGACATCATCTGCATGGCGGATCTGATTCGTGAAATCTATACTGTTGGAAAATGCTTCAAAGAAGCAAATAACTTCCTGTGGGCCTTCAAATTATCTTCTTCACGAAGTGGAATGAAGAAGACGACCACCTATTTTGTAGAAGGTGGAGATAGTGGCAACAGGGAAGAGCAGATCAACAGACTTACTAGAAGGATGAACTAAGGTATCCACCATGATTAATTTTGTAATCTGATCAGTAAAGAAACAGTGGCTGTTCTCAGACTGCAATATATTCTTGTAACTTTTTTGTTAGCTTGCTTCTGAAATCCCTTAACTTTAGTGGCACAGTTGGTGCTTGGTAAAATTAAGCCAAAACTTCTGAAAGAGTAGGATCCATTTTATGTTTTGTGAAAATCACTTAGGGACTTATGAAAGGCTTTTTCTACACCAGAAAGGCCTAAGGTTTCCCCTTTGAATTGTGCTGAGTGAAAATGGGTTAATTCAAAGAAAACTTATTTCAAGGCTTTCATGCGTGATTTGTAGATAAGGTAATAAAATAAAAGTCAGTACACACACACACACACACACACACAATGTGAAAAAAGCCTTATTTGTTAATCAGTAGGACTATCAGGCAAAGAGTTTTTGAAAGTTTGGCTGACAAAATCAGCCAAAACTTTTATTGATCTGTCTAATGAAGAAGTAATAATTGGCCGTATTCATAGCAGATTCTTGAACCAGCAATGTGTATCTGTCTAAAGTCAAGACTGTCAGAATCATCTGACCTCACCTTCATGACTGTACCTTACAGTGGAAAGCTATTTGAGTCTGTGACATCTAATACAGGAATTTAAGAAACTCATGATTTTCTGTAACTCCCTTAAAGGGTCATGGTAAAAATTGAATACTTACGCCTTTGTTACTTGGTGAGGTGCTATGAGGCCTTGACTGAAATTAGAAGTTGGATAATGCCGAATGTTTCATTGGGAAGCTTATTAGGTAAAGCACTCACTTCCAAAAGATGCAGATGGTAGCTATTGTCATATACTTGAATGTATCCTGGAAGAGGAGAGAAGCTTGTTCTGTGACATTCCATATGACCAAACATGGACCACAAAATTAAAGTAATATAGATAGTTTTCAGCTCAGTATGAGAAAATTGTCTTAACAGTACCAGGAGTACATATGGCATTTTGTAATCTATCCTTCTCTGGGTTATTTAAAAGAGGCCCCTCTGACAATTGGTCAGTAATGCCCTCAAGTAACTTATGGGGGTTAAGGGATGGAGGCGGGAATAGGTGTGAGTCTCTTCTCATCATTTGGCACTAAAATGCTGACTCTGTCAATGTAGCCTTGTTTCCCTTACTGGAGAGGAAGCAATGTCTCATATAAAGAACATTACACTAAGAGAAAGCTGTCACATTTTTCCATCGTTTATTTTGTTTTGTGATGTCAGCACCTTACTCATGGCTTTCATCTACAATACTAGGTTAATATGGTCTCTTGTGTTATATCCTCTTCGGATTGCTGTGGGGTTCATAACAAAAATGTCTCTTAGGGGACTAGCAGTTAACATAATGGCTATGTTGCTGAACTCCCATATAGGCGACCGCGGTTCAAGTTCTGGACCCGGTGGCTTAAACTCACGCCGGGCGCGTGTGCGTGCGTGCCCAAGATCCCGAGAGGAGTATGGAGGAGAAGGGATTGCGGCGTGACCATCCCCCCTGGGCGGTGATTTCTCGCTTTCTCTCTCTCTGTCTCTCACTGTGTTTCGGGCGAGTGCATGCGCCCTATAGCAAAAACCTCTCAAAAAAAAAAATAAATAAAATGTCTCTTAAGTAGGTTATAGGGCCAGCTGGTGGCATGGTGGTTGGAATGGCTGGATCCCACATGGCTGACCATGCAGTTCAAGACCTGGACTCCACAGCTCGGAAAGCACACTGGGCACATGTGTTCCCCAAATTCTGAGAGGAGAATGGATAAGTAGGGATTGCAAGGTGGTTATCTCCCCCTGGGAGTGCTTTTTTCTCTTTTCTTTTTTCCCTGTCTCTGTTTCTCTCTGGTGAATGCACACACCCTATGGCAGAATTAAAGAAAAAAAATTGTAGAAAGAAGTAGGATACAAATAAAAACTAAGCAAAAAACATATGATAATTTTTGTGGACCTTCAGTTGTTCAAAGCCTAAAAGATTAATTGGAGAAGAAATGCATAGTTGTTGAATAATGTTAAAGAAATAAAGTATAAATGTGAAACTGAACAGTCCTGGTCCTTGTTCAGTTGTAGTCACTGTTAATGGTCTGACTGTCTATACCATTATGTACAGACTGTTCTAGACATCTATGTACAGTACAGTGTGCATGTAATAAATATATTTTTCCTTGTTCAGTTCAGCAAGTGTGTCTTACATAAAGATTGAACTTCTTTCCTTATTTTTCTC